CCGCGGCGTCGCACCGGAGCCGTTGGGCGGTGGCGAGAGCCAGCGAGGGAGAAGGAGCGGGCCCGGCCCGGCGCCGCCCGCCGCCCCGCAGGTGAGCGACCGACCGCCCGACGGGAGGGGGGGACGGGCCCGAGGTTGTTATGGCGACCAGGGGGGCGCCGGGCGGGGCCTCTCCGGGCGGCACCCACGCGTGTCCGCGGCCTCTGCGTGGGGCCCGGCGGAGCCCGGCCTGGGGTCCCACCTCGCCCTCCCCGTGCCCCGCCGTGCGTTTTATCTTTTTAATCGTAATAGTAAAAAGTGAATTGGGGGGGAGGAGGGTGTGAACTTCCACGCGTAGGTGTGCAGCGGCCCACCGGCCCCTTCCACCCCGCACCCGTGGGGGCGGCCCAGGGGGATCCGAGCTGGGGACCCCCCGCTGACACCCGGGGGACAGGGCACGCCGCCGGGCCGCAGTCTGACCCCACGGTCGCCAGCCACCTCCTCCCCGCCATGGCTCGCCTCTCCCTGCCGGAGCATGGCCAGGCTCCGTGGGCACCAGCACGTCCGGCACCGGGGCCCCATGAGTGAGCAACCCACCGGCCACGCTGGGCCTGACCCACGGCCTCCGCGGCGGCTCTCGGCCTGTGCCAGGGACATAAGGCTCCTTTTTGGGAGGGGTGCGCCAGCCCGGCAGGCTGGTGGCCTGGCTCCTGCCCTGTGCTCCCTCAGGGAGATGGTCTAAGCTGGAGTGTTGGAGGGGACAACCCTCCTCACCGCCAGGTCCGAGGACTGTGTCCCCTCCTCCTCGGTGTCTCTCGGCACATCCCCAGTGGGAAGGTACGGGCTGCCACGCTCCGGGCTCTCCCACGCTCCACTAGATGTGTTCTCCCTCCTCGGCCAGCACTTGCTTATTTCTGATCTTGGATGTCATCAAGGGTGGAAAATGTGACAGGAAGGAAGGGAGGCTTTTTTTCCTCTTGCTAAATATGGACTGACATTAAAATCCAAATACTGTCGTGAAAGGAATCCCAGCCCCTGTTTGTAGGAGGGAAAAACCGATGTTTTCTGGCTTTTCGGCTGTGAGGTTCCAGCTGGGAAGTTTCGCAAGGAGTGGCGGGGTCCTTGCCGAGAGCCTCAGGAATTTACTTGCTTGTTCACAGGACGCTCTCCGCAGCGTATTACGCTAAAAAAATTAGTCATCCCTTCTCTGCCTGTCCGTGACTGGGGAGAGCTTGCTGTGAGCATGCAGGATGCTTTGAAATCATTTAGGGATTTTTTTTCTTCTTTCCTGTACAAGGACTTTTAGAAATGAAAGGGATGAGGGCAGATAAATCTGCAGCCCCGGCAGGAGTTTTTCATCCTTCTTTATTTTAATTCCTGTTGCTGCAGCAGCCGATGGCAGGGAAGGAGGTGCCTGGGGTGGCTGCGGCCGATGCAGGGAACTGCCAGGTTTTGCAAGGAGGATTTATGTCTCTCAGAATCAGATGAATCGGATGCAAACTCGTGCCGTTATTCCCATAGTGAGGGTGGGAAGCCAGCTCGATGACAAGGAGTGGGACCCCGGGGATGCTCACTGTGCTGCCAGCTCCCCCAGTGATGTCTGCCATGGCCAAGGTGAAGAGCCAGGATGTTTTGGGGGGGTGTGGACCACAGCTTCACTGGGACCTGGGGGTGCTGTGCGTGAGAGACCTGGTGTCTGTGCTTGGCAGAAAACGGGCCCTGCCACGTTCCCCCTCCACATGTTCCTCTCCATCCCGTTTGGAGAGCCTTTTTGGGGGGTGTCTGTGGGAAACTCCAGGGCATTTTCCTGATCTTTATAAAAACAGTTTGTTAAAGCAGTGGGGGGATACTGGGAGGTGCTGAAAATAGATGTTTCCCGTTTCCAGGGGCATTGCTATCCTGGCGTTGCTGCGGCTGTATTGTTTTCAAGCTAATAGGATACATAGCTCTGCTTTTCTGAAATGTCACTCTCAAATAACTGATGCTTTGTGCGGATCCGTGATATTGGTCCAAGTCCAACATCAACATCCTTGTGGAAGAGTAGTTTGAGTTCCCTCTCTTCTCGTCTCCTCCCGCCGATGACCTACATCTGTTCTCCTCAAATCCTCTGTGTTTGCAGCAGGACAGCAGAGCCCAATCCAGCAGGAAGGGTGCAGGTTGTGGGACCTCTGCCACGCTCGGCCCCTGGGTCTGCCTTCACCGCTTTGGGTAAGGCAGTGCTGAGCCATGGTTGTGTGGTCATGGTCTGCGTGATGCCTCAAAACACTGGGGAGCGTGGGGTGGGTTATTTCGGGTAGAATGGAGCACCCGTATGCTTCTGTAGGGTCAGGAGCAGTGCAGCAGATGCACAAGCTGCTGGCTGGTACTTTATTCTTGGTGTTAGATGAGAAGGTTGTCAGCCCTCACAGCTGCTTTCTGGTCTCATTCACAAATCGCTTTTTCCTCTTGAAATAAAACAAATCCCTGGGCTTTCCTGTCGTGGTGGAAATCATTTGAATGTGACCAGGTCTGTAAGCATCTCCAAAGCCTGGGGACAGGAAGAAACACTAGAGCGAAGAGGTAGGAAATGTCCGCATTTATAGCAGTGGGCTGATTCATCTCCCTGCTCTTAACCCTTTCCCTCCTGCTTCTGGTGAGATCCAGCTGTTTTGCTTCCAAGCTCGGAGGCCGAGGAGAATATCGCCAGCTCTTCTCTATCTGGATTGCAAAATACTGCTGGGTTTTGTACATTGTGTTTACGTGGTTTGGGGTGGAAAAGGATTGGGGGTGTGCGGTTATCTGAATCGGATAACCGGAACATCGGCAGTCACATTAGGAAGGATTAATATTTAATATATGGGGTATGAACCATTGAGCTTAATCACTATCTGAAGGGCTTAGGAAGAGATTTACCGATAAGCAAGTGATTCCCAAACTGTCCAGAATGATTTCTTGCATCTTCATCAGAAGCAGCTGATCCTGAATATCGCTGGAGACTGGCCTGATCCTGTTCTTCCTGCTGTCTCTAGTGTTTGTAAGTGGGTAGAGTGGCTTTGATCACAAGTGCTTTCTTCTCCTTAAACTCGCAAAAAATTCTGGAAACTCTTTTTCTCTGATACAACACACATAAGCTGTAGTACTTGTTAGTGCTTGAAACTTACATGAAACTTACATGTGTCAATGCTTGCAACTTGTGTCAATGCTTGAAACTTACATGTGTCAATGCTTGAAACTTACGTGTGTTAGTGCTTGAAACTTAAGCTCATGGGAAGTGTGTTTTGGGCTCTGTCCGGAGCTGGCTCATTCATATTTTTCTCTTCCTAATGTCTTCAGGAGACCTTGAATTTCATCCGTGCCTCCATCACAGTCCTGAAAACCCTTGTGATGGCTGTTCTGCTTTCCATGTCTGCCCCACGATGACCCACGTCGGGTTTTTTGCAGTGTAGAGTGTTTTGTAGTGCAGCAAGGCGGGGGCCTCCCCTCAGGGTTGGGTGCTGCTGTGTTTGTGTGGGAAAGAGGTGGTGGTGGGGGACACATCAAGGTACTCAAATAATCCATCTTCACTGCCACATGTCCTGCAGGACTAAATCTAACCTCCAGGCACTGCACACCAACGCCATGGGGCACCCAGGGGCACTCACCTCTTCCAAAGCCTGATGTCCACCATGAACCTCACTGCCTCGTGCGCTGGCTGCTCGCACACATGCTGTATGACTGCAGTTGGTGGGGCCCTGCGTGTCCTGCAGGTCAGTGTTGAGCTGGTTTGAGGCTGGGAAGCAGAGGCGGGAGGTGAAGGTCTCATTGAGACTCTGGTAGGACTACCAGAGTTCAACTAGATTAGAGGGTCGTGTCTTCGTCTTGGGAAGCCCTGCTCCAGGCTGTGGGAGGGTGTGTGCCTGCGTCCCCCTCCCCTCCCTGCCCTGAGTCAAAACTCACCTGACTGAAAGAATCAGCCGTGGCCATCAAACCAGCTTTTGCTGTGGTTATACATGGGGTACCGCTGTGTTTATGGTGTCTGCAGTTTTGATGGTGGAAGTCGAAACAACTGAGCGTGGGTTGGGTTTTGGCATGTGGGTCATGTAGGAAATCCAGATGGCTACTGGAACAGGTGTGGAGGTTAGCAATCTTTTAAGAAATGGAGTGGAGGCTATTTTTTTTTCCCCCAAAACGCATGTGGGAGAACGCCTCTTTTTATTCTATGTGCGAACAGATTGCTTGCTTAGGCAGCAGCGAGCCCTCTTTATTCCAGAATAATTTGTTGTCCTAATTCGTTCCTGTTGAAGCAACTCTGTTTTGCATGGAATAATTAGTACTAATTTGGACCTGGGATGGAGAATAAGAGTTCTCCGACTTCAGAAGAGTAGACAAGATGCTCTTATGCTAACCTCTGCTTCTCCTGCATGAGTCAGGTTGTACCATGCCATCCCTCCT